GGGTGCGCCATCGTTTATACCTACGATTTTTTTTTTTTTTTGTACATTAGTTCGTCTATCTCGATTATTTATAAACTTTTATAATGTTATGTTTTAGTATTTTCTAAATTTCGATTTGTCCTAGGTACTACAAATGCTATCAATATTAACGACGATTAAAGATATATATTATATCTTAAATCGTTTTATCGACCGAAAACATTTTAATTTGGTTTTGAATGTGCTGAAAACTAATATGATATAAAAATCATGTATCTCGCTTATAGAACTTACTCGCAGTGAAGTATAAATGATTGAACGATAAGTAAGGTTCGGAAGTTATAGGAATTGCATATTGTTCTGTATGCTCTCGATTTATAGCAGACAAAGCTAAAAATCCGTGCTATACAAAGTTTAGTTTAAAAATTGAAATTTAAAATGTATATTTTACATATTTCGTTACTTTTAGAGAAAAAGTAGATATTTTGTTGATTTTCATTGATTTTCGAATATTTGAATGCATATTTAATATATTCTCAAAAAATTAATTTTTTCATTCTTAAAGAATTTATTTTAAATAATGTTACATAACACAACACTAATAACGCAGAAAACGTGCATCATATAAAACTCAATATTATTTTTCGTGGGTATTTATTGTTATTTTTTATTGTATACTATAAATTTAACGAAAATATTGATGGTTCAATGCTACAACTTAACAGGTATTATACAACATATATTTATTTGGTATTTCAAAAATAATGAAAATATATTTTTTTAATTATTTTTTCAACAGTAATTCAAATTACAACTTTTTATGCGCCATATTTTAGTTTTTAATAATACAATCTTTTTAAATATAGATTTTTAGAATTTGCCAATTAACTTAAATAAATATTATTTTTTCATATTTCACATTTTTCATAGGTTCATATTTTATTATTTTTCGTGCATATTTAGCCTTTTTTGGCTCCTATAACTTCCAAACCCTAATGATAAGTATTCATCTTGAACTGCTTACTAATTTTTCCTATCAATAATATATGTAATCATTGATATAATTTTAATATTTTATACTATTCCTACACTAAATTTTGGTCTTCATTTTAAATTAATTTATGACACAGGTAACAGGTATTATATACGATGTATTAATATACCTATTGGCTATCTAGCGTTTATATTTCTACCACAACATTATAGATTTCTAATATTACTACAATACTTCACAAATTATTAAATACAATTTGTGGTTGTAAAAAATAGTTTTTTAAGGCTAACTCATGATTTAGATCAAGGCCATGGTATACTATACCAATAAATACAGATTTAATATGTATAATTAAAAGTTCCAACTATAAATTTATAAATTATATAATAGATAATTTTAATTTAAATAACCTTGAAATGTTTTTGTAGGTAACAGTTATTACGTTGATTAACATAATTAAACTAGATGTTTTTAATTCCTAGCCGGAAAAGTGAACTATTTTATATTTTACGACAAAAAACTATTTCTTTAAGAAAATATTTTTCTATATAATTTGAATACATCAAATTTTTTAATTACCATTAAAAAAATATTCAGTTGTATATTTTTGTGCATGTTTGCATGCATATTTCCTACAATTTGTGTGCAATAAGTCCAGAACCCTAGTCATCACTTATGAAATATTGATGTACCTACATTTTAATATTTTAATTCTTAAATTCACTATATTTATATTTAGTCATTTTATAATTCTTAAAATGTATTTTTAATTTTTAATTGCATTTGGCTTTAACTCTAACTCTTTAATTTTTTATCTGTACCTATTATGTGGGGTATAGATAAAAATTTGGAAGGCCAACTAAGCTCTTCTATAGCCCACCTTGTTACGCCTATGTAGCCGTTAAAGCCCAGAATGAAATTTCAAATAGAGTAAATTTTATAAAAAATAAACTTATAGAATAATATAAATTATAAGTAAGCACACGAAAAAAATCCGATAAATAATACAATAAATATCACTTGTACATATAAATCCGGGTCCACACTTGCAACATTCACGCGTACCGCAACACCGTGTCGTTACATCGCCTCGTAACATCCTTTGACGCGGAAAATTTTTACCGACAACTGACGTATAATAAATTGTGCGTTCACGTTCACACAGATGTTACAGTTACGCGGCGATGGTACGATACGGCGATGCCACGGCTACGAACAGTGCGTGGAAATTGTTTTTATTGTTCCATATAAAAATTAGATAACACTAATATATGAAGCGCTTCCACATGCGGCACGCGCCCATACAAGTTACCGCCGCAATATCGTGCCCTAGAAAGATGGAACGGTCATATTCAAAACCAATTCATTTATGGGCGAAAAATAGTTTTAAGAATGACAAAAATTAAGGTACATCAATTGCTTAGATTTAAAAAATGTAAAGATGTTGGAATTAGTAAAGAAGTTTACTCTGCATCGGTCTGAGCCAGTGCCGCAACTACAGTAATTTAAACCAGTGTGTAAATATAATCAATTTCCCCCCTCCCCCAGCCGCGTCAGGACTCTGCGGGGAAACCGAACCTAATTTCGATTATATAGGCTGCAAAAGAAACGTTGATGTACGATAATATGTACGAAACAAAATCAATCAATTATTGTTCAATCTCCATTAATAATTATTACAAAATGGTTTTATTTTTTTATTTTCTACATATTTTTCAAATTTTGTCATTGGGCCCTATTATAGACTGGGACCATGGACCTATGTGTTTGACACACACAACACACCCGGTTATAGCAGACCTGGTCGGAGCACTATTTTAATTTTAGCAAATTCTTGACGAGAATAAATATTTTACATTTTATTAATTTGCCAATTTTTAATATTGAATATATTAAAAAAAACAATAAAAATATTTAAATATATGCTCCAACCGATGCAAATTAAACTTCTTGACCAATTCAAACATCTTTACGTTTTGTAAATCAAATCACTAGAAGTACCTAGTCAATTTTTTCAGTTACTAAGGTGGTTTTGATGAAAAATTAATAGGGTTTGCAAGGGCCTAAGTAATAAATCTTTTGTAGTGGTTAATATATTAAGTTATCAATTATTACATAATTCTTACATTTATTATGCTTCCAGTTTAGGCTTTATATTGGATTATGAGAAAAAAAATACTGATTAAAATGATCATATAAACTCTCGTAATAACTATATTTTCAACTGTACAAGGTACAAAAATTATATAATATACGGTATAATAATTACGTATATTATTGTCCAATTTACTCTTTATTTGTTATATATTTTTTTTACGATATCCTATTTATAATCAATAAATATAGTACATATAAAATATACTATAATGGTCAATGAACTGTACATTTTTAACATTTTTATCTCAAAATATAGCTTTTATTCAGCTTAAACACGTAATTGGAATAACATCATTAATCATTAAAATTAGTTATGATTAACAAATTAACATATTTTGTAATCGTAATCAACACTATGATCACCTACATTATAACTTTAATCATTTAATTTGGTATTGTAACTATTAATTACATCACTATTTAAGATATACTAAGATATATTTAAGGTATATCTTAAACCGTGGATTATATTAATTTATCTTACCATTAATAACTACAAATAGTAATCTAAATCTTTAATCATAAATCAGATTACGATTTTCCCAGCACTGCTATCATTATTATTTAGCAAGCTGTTACTTTTATAGTGGTCAGTCAAAAAAAAGTGCAAAAAATAAAAATAAACATTTGTAACAGTTTTTTTTTCACCCGAGTAACAGATTGTTGGTGCTACTCGATTCATAATTGTAATTTTTCCCCATCACTGTTTAAACATAATTTATTAAATACGACATTCTCTTAATTGCACGGCAAAAGCCCTCAAGTATACACGTGAAAGCTGATATTTGGATTTTTTAAATGGAGCGCAATAATTTATTACCTAGCAGTCTAGTCTTGTATCTAGGTTCACATCCAGTCTAAAACTTGGTAGTGCTAAGATTATTCACCCTCAGGTAATTCGGCATCTACTTAGGACAAAATATTTTAGTTTTAGAATTTAATTATAAATTTAGCAATTTTCTAAATTACAACCAAATAGTAATAATAAACATCATTATTTTTTATCAATAAACGATCAAACCGGTAGATAGCAAACATAAACAAATTCTAAATAATCCTAAATACTATTCTAGCAATAAATACTAAAAAATAAACGACCACAATTTCATGAATATAAATATGATATAATTTTGTTAAAAACGTTAAAAACGTGTATTCCATATAATATTTATAAGAAATTATAATAGATACATTTTTTGTTTTCATTTCTTACTGTAGAATTTAAGAATTACTATACAGCACATTATTCCGGCCGACCATTCATTTATCGGTTATGTATGAAATATTTAATACACTTTTGCTTTATATCATGGTATACACGATATACACGATATTGTTTACACAACAATTGTCCTAGAGTGAAACTGTCCTAACTTTCGATTCGTAACGACAAGGATGACGACAAGTTGTACAAATGATAAATACAAACCGTTCAAAAATCTTTGTTATCGGTTCAATAAACAGTCGGATGAATATTCGTTCCCTAAAGTGTGTAGTCTAAATATATCGGATCTAATAAAAATGTACAAGAGTTCAACAAAATGTTTGTAAAAGAAATGATAGATCTCGATTTTAAAAAATAAATTAATGAAAGTAGAGATGTTTTTGCTACGACAAATAGAGTTTTAAATAAAAATAAAAAAATCATTCGAAAAGTAATCACTCAAGATTTTATATTTAAAAATTATGGATGGGATTTCTAATGAAAAAAAGTTAATAAATATTATTCTGATGTTCAATTTCAATTTCAATTTTTATTATTTTATTAATAATTTACTTCACAAACGGTCTTGATGCGCGGATAACGTAAACAATAAAAACTTGATGATTATACCATCGAAATATTTGTAATATTCACAAATATTTGTCGTATGACTCACATTTATATATTAATATATACACTGTTAAAAATATAAAAAATAATTGAAAAAGCTGAAAATTATGCAATTCAGTTTCAGTAAATGCTAATTAAGTTGAATGTATAATTTCTGGAATAAATAGCTTTCATAAACACGATAGTTATGACTAAGGTATTTTTTGTTAATTTATTTAATATAATATACTTATAATTTATTAAAAAACATTCTTCCGACTATACAGCTTACGACTTATTATTATGATGCTACGAGCAACGTCGATTGGAATGAAACGCGTAGAATACAGGTTTCCCGGTGCCTCTGAATATCCGATACGTGATTGATGTCGCTTGAACGTTACGCAACGTGCCTGCTAAGTATGGAGTAACAAACCGAGAGCAATTACAAACTTAATTAATAGAAAAAAAAAAATCATTATACGCGCCAGACTGTTATTAAACGAATTCGCAATAACTTGACCTCAACTACGTGCTGCTGCTGCTGCTGTACAACGATTACCGCACAACGAAGGAAAAAGCTCTTTCGGCCGTACGATTCGTTCGATATTATAATTAAGCACCTCGCGAACGATCATAATCAACAGTTCTTGTTTCGTCGTGTTCGATTACAACTAATAATACCGCAATCGACTGCGATTATTTTTATTTATTTCCCCCCCCCCCCCCATTGTGTGCTCGTCCGAACACGCATGTGACCGTCATTTTAAAAATTAATCATCGTGATTTTTTTATTTTTTCTCTGCGCCGCGCGCCTATAAAACCCTCACGCGAGTACGTGCATCACTCGCGCGCGCGCGCACACGCTTGTTACACTGTTTCAGCGGCGTTGTGAAAGGACGCACGACGGCCTAACGCAGCTCAACGCGAGCTTATCGCGAGGCCTTAGTTCGGGTGTTGTGCCGCGAAACGCTGTTTACCAAACACGCCAAACCGTTTCCTCCGCACGGACAACGGCACTCGTCGTGTACGCGCGCGCCAGCCGGTACGATTTCGACCAGCGTAACGCCTTCTGTTTTCACGGTTTCCGACCGATTATCGAGGTGCTACGGGTACGGGTCGTAACCCGTTTCCAATACCACCGGTTAAGTAATATATAGATAATAGATAGTTACACGTAGTATAGGTACCATGGCTGCTGGTGCCGCTTCAGCGTTAGGTAGTAGCGCGTCGCCGAGGTCCGCGGCGGCGATGATATTATTGGCGTTGGCGTTGACGGGCCCGCGGTTCGCGCAGGGAGCCAGGATTCTGGTCGTGGAGTCGATCGCGGCCAAGAGCCATTGGAACGTCATGAGGGCCGTGATCCGGGTGCTCACCGAACACGGCCACGAGGTCACGGCGTTCACCCCGTTCCCGGACGGCGACCGGCAGAACTACACCGAAGTGGACCTGTCCGGCGAGTTACCCGTAAAGATTGCCATGGACGTGTCGGACATCCTAGACATGTTCGTCGATCTCTCGTCGCTACTGCCGTTCGCCGTGGACATGAGCCGCTCGCTGTGCGACATCATTTACGACAACGACCGCATGAAAGACGTGCTGTCCGCGCGGCCGGACGACCGTTTCGACCTCATCATCATCGAGCCGCTGGCCTCGGACTGCGTGTCGTACGTCGCGTCCAAGTTGCGCGTGCCCCTCATCTACGTGGTCCCGTCGCCGATGATCACTTACATGGAACGCTCGTTCCTCGGCCACGTGCCCAACCCGGCCGTGGTGTCCAACTATTTGGCCCGCCACGCTGTCCCCGGCACGTTCGTCCAGCGGTTCGGCAACGTCGTCCTGTTGGCGTACAGCGTGTTCACGGTCTGGTACGTCGAGTGGAAGCTGAAACGTTCCGCGCCGAAGTTCTACGACGCCGCCGCGCCCGTCCAACCGTCCGCCGTATTCGTCAACAGCCATTTCGTCTCCGAAGCTGCGAGGCCCATGCCGCCGAATGTGGTGCAGGTCGGCGGCTTGCATCTGGAACAGCCCAAGGGCATACCGAGCGTACGTAATGCGTTAATATCATGCGCCTGCACGCGCGACACGATCGTTTCGAACGGCGAAAAAAATAAAACGCATTGATTGCAACTATTGCGCAGGTGTCCTGCGAACAACTCTCGTACCGCGACCATACAGAATGAAATCCTATTTGCTGCGTGATAAACGCGTGTTTGGAGAACAACGAGCATAGTATTCAGCTAAGTACTAGTTGAACGCATGTTAAATGTTTTCAAGTTGACTGTGTGCAACAATCGCTTAAACGGTTAACAAAAATCACAAGAAGGGATATCGTTTAAAAGAAATATTTCATTTTAATTGTTGACATTTAAATCAAATTTCATTTTACACACGTAAGCGTTTTTAAACGGATTTTATAAATGTTCATGTAGGTACCTATTGCATGATTTCATTACTTAAAGAACAATTTACATACAGTAAATAATGCATACACCATGCATTGATGTGCCATATTTACTGCAGATAAATTTCTCGAAAAAATGGTATTTGTCAACTGTTTACAACATAAGTAGATACTTGTTTTGAAAAACGTACTTATCAAATAGATGTAACTTTATGATGGTCACAAATGTTTTAAAATGGAAAAATAAATCTTTTTCAAATTTCCTTTCGGAATATGTTTTGGTATAAAAATTCAAACAATTCTAGCATTAAAGGTACACGTATCAATAAATTAGTAACTATATGGCCTACATAAAAATCCCATTAAATGTTTATCTAGTATTATTTATTTATAATTTCTAGATAAACTTTAATCAATTATGAATTTGTTTTTCAACGTTTTTTACGATATGTACAATAAAAATTTGTTTAGGATGTGTTAAAATTCATCGAGGAATCGCCCAATGGAGTAATTTACTTTACTTTTGGTTCAGTCGTCAAAATGTCAACGATGCCGGATAACGTTCAAAAAGCTTTTAAAGAAGCGCTAGCTCAAGTTCCCCAAAGAATTTTATGGAAATTCGAAGGTATCATGGATGATATACCAAAAAATGTGATGATTAAAAGTTGGTTCCCTCAACGTGATATACTTTGTAAGATTTTTATTTATTTAAAATTAATTTTTTTTATAATAGCAATCACTCTAACTTACTGTTTTTTTTTTTTTTTTTTTAGTGCATCCCAACATAAAATTATTCATCAGTCACGGAGGTATATCTGGAATCTACGAAACTGTAGATGCCGGCGTTCCAGTCCTCGGATTTCCTTTATTTTATGATCAGCATAGAAATATTGCTAACTTAGTAGATGCTGGAATGGCGATATCGATGGACTTATTATCTGTAACAAAAGACACATTTTTAAATTCTATTTTAGAACTGATCAATAACGAAAAGTAAAATCTATTTTTAAATAAAATAATAATCTGTAAATATTTAAAATTTGTTATGTTTTTAGGTACATGAAAAATGCTAAAACTACTTCTTGGCGATTCAAGGATCGACCAATGTCACCAGAAAAGTCAATTGCTTACTGGACCGACTACATTCACCGTCACAATGGAGCGGAACATTTGAAATCAAATGCTCTGAACCTGTCATGGTACCAATACTTTCTTTTGGACGTCATTTTTGTGATGTTGATTTTAATTTGTATTATTTTATTTATAAGTTACACTATTTTAAAATTAATTTATCAATACAGTTTGAGATGTTTACGACATTTTAAAGAAAAATCTGAATAATCGAAATATTATTAAAAACTGTAATATTTTATTATAATATAGAAATTGTAAAAGTTCTGACGTTTAAAATAATTAATTTCATGTAAAAAATGATTATCTAGCCATTTTAAAAATAATTACGTGCGCCTCATTAGTGTATACCTTAATCATAACCATTGTATGTAATAATTACAGAATAATTAAATATAATTTGATTAAAAAATTTGTTTTTTTTGTTATATTTATCTAAATAATTATTTTATTAAAATATATATACTTTTTTTTTTTTTTTTTTATTATTTAAGCATCAACTACATAAGTTATTAGCTTACGGGTGTTAATTTTTACATTAAATAATTATATGTTGTTGTACAATTCAATTTTTTTTAAGTATAAAATTACGCTATGAAAGTTTGAAAATGGACCAATTGCTTCGTACAGGTTGTCTGGGATGCTGAAATCTTTTCTTGCTTCGTTGAAGTTTGGGCAGTGGATGATGATATGTTTGATGGAGTAGATTGTATTGCATGTTGGGCATAGGGGTGGATCTGTCTTTGTTATAAGATGTCCGTGTGTGAGTTTCGTGTGACCATCTCAACGAGATGTACCAAGAAAGAGTTTTGGTTTCGTTAATTTTCTTTTATTTGAAAATAAAATACATTTTGTCTTTTGAGGCGAAAAAATGAAACCGGCTTTGAAGCACCATTCAAATAGGTCATTGAGGCATTTTTGAAGTGTTCCGATCATTACAGAAATTTGCATACCACGAATATATATGTAAGTGTCGTCTGCAAAAATGATTGATTTTGCAGGATTTGCGATGATGTTGGGCAGGTTGTTAATTGCTGTTTGAAATAAAAAAATGCTAAGTGGAGAACCTTGAGGCAGTCCGTTTTCTAACATAAATGTATTCGATGTTTGATCTCTAATTTTGACTTGAAAGGATCGTTGGTTTAGGAAGTTGGTTAGAAATATTAGCATGTTTTCATGTATGTTCTAATTCTTAAGTAACTAGATTATTCTATATCGCCAAACAGTGTCGTATGCCTTTTGTAAATCGAGACTTATTAGTATCATTGATTGCTTATTAGCAAAGGTTTTTAAGACTTCGGTTTCAATTTTTACGTGGCAGTCGGTGGTTGAGCAGTGTCTTCTAAAACCATGTTGACATGGTGAGAGAAGTTTATGATGAGTTGCGTACCAACTTAGTCGGTTGTAGATGATTTTTTCTAATAACTTGCTCATGCTACAGAATACCAATATTGGTCGATATCCTGTAGGTTTGAAGCTGTTTTGATTATATTTTGGTATGGGTGTGATGATTGCATTTTTTCATTTAATCAGGATTAATCCTGTTTCCCAAATAAGGTTGTAGAGACGTAGTAGAAGAATTTTGCCACTAGAAGGTAGGTTTTGAAAGAATATGAATGGAATTTTATCGGATCCACAACTTTTGCTTTTATTTCCACGAAGACATAATTAAATTTCAAGCATGGTAATTGGTTCATTTAATCTGTCGCCTTGGCCAATATTGGGTAAAAGATTAGTAGTGGTATCAATTTCATTTTCTTTTTCTTGTTTAAACTTGAGAAAATCGTAGGTTAAAGAAGAGTCGCTGCTGTTAGTATAAAAATATTCGCCGATTGATTGGGCTATTTCCTGAGGTTCAGTAAGTATAGAACCTTCTGATTAAATGATTTTTATTTGAGACGTGGGAATGCCTTTAATGACTATAATTTTTTTTCCAAATATTGGTTGTCGACTCTTTGCTGTTAAGGTCTGTCGTAAATTTTATCCAAGATTTTTTTTTTTTGGTTTTTTATTAAATACCGGACTAATGCTTTGTATTTTTTGAATTCGATAAAATAATTGAAATCATTTGTGCGTTTGAATTTATTGAAGTTAGTTTTTTTGTTCCTTATAGCATGTTTGAGGGTTTTATTCCACCATGGTACTGGTGGTCGTTTCCCAGAGTAACTATTTTGTTCAAAAATATTGGATGCCGTGTTATAAATTAAAGTACTCAGTTCCTCCATAGTATCCTCCACGTCATTATTGTTTGAAAAGGAAAGGGAATGATTAATTATATTTTTACTATATTTTTTCTATTTCTGCTTGGTAGCTATCCCAGTTGGCATTTTTCAGTTTCCATTTAAGACCACGAGTGTGTTTTTCGCAAGGGTCGGTATAATTTAAGGTAAGTTTAATTGGAAAATGGTTGCTACTAGAGAGCTCAGGCATTGTGTTTCATTCAAAATGAGGTGTATTGGTTGACGAAGAAAGAGAGAGATCAATTGCCGAGAAGTTTCCTGTACTAGCGCTTATTCTCGTTGCTTGACCATTATTAAGAATATTAATGTTGTTGTTATCAAGTATTTTTTCTATAATTCTTCCTCTTTGATCAGTGTCGTTAGAACTATTTAAGTCACCCAGAATTATAAAAGGCGTAAGAAGTTGGTCGATAATGTTTTGGATATCAGTGTAACTAAGAATCTGCGAGTTGGGCATGTACAAATTGCAAATAGTTAATTTATATTTGACAGAAATTCTTACTGCTACTGCTTCTAGGTTTGTGATAAGGGCGATTTCTTCGGAGGGATATTGTATATTGATAAAGGTGGCCACTCCTCCACTAGCCCTAATATGGTTGGTTCTGTTTTTGAAAAAGTTTGCATAATTTTTTAAAGAACCTGATTTGATGTTGATGAAGTTGGTTTCTTGAATACATAATGCTACTGAAGAGAACCTGTTGATTAATAGTTTTATTTCATCGATTTTTGAGTAGAATCCATTAGGATTCCATTGGATAAGTGGAATAATACAATATCACTATCCTGGGTATTATGAGTATTTTGAGTATTGACAATAAGTAACGAGGAAGATAAGTTTTTATCTTCAATTATAGTTGATGATAAATCAATAAGGGTTAGGGTTTCCGTAACGGTTTCAGTCTCATTAATTATATTAATTGGATCAGGAATATTTTTGCATTGGCTAGAAAAGTGACCAGTTTGGTGGCATTGGAAACACGTTACTATATCATCAGTGATAAATATTCTGAACGTAGTGTTATCTACAGTTACGGTGATAGAATTAGGTAGTTTGGTCGCGCTATCTTGATTTATGTATATTTGTCTTCTGAAACTTAGTATGTGTGAAAATTGCTCTGTAGCGAATCCAGCTTTCATGTGTGTAATTTGTGACGTAGTTTTGATTCCTATTTGGTGGAGAGCATTTAATATAAGTTGATTGGGAATGGTAGGGTAAACATTTGATAAAATGATTCTCTTTGGAGCGTTTATCAGTCTTCGAATAGGAATATCTATTCCATTAACATGAATTGATGAATGAGTTTTTAGTAAATTTTTCATAACGGCTTGGCTGTTAAAAAAACGCAAAATCTGTTATTGGAAATACGCGAAACAAATATGATATTCTTAGCAGGTACGATTTTACTGATTTCCGATACATATTCAATTTGTTTAATGTTATTGATAGAATTGAGAACAATTGCTTGGTTCATTTTCGGTAAAGTGGTATTTGAAGCTCTGCAAATGTTTGATTATTAAGTGTGTGTTGAGAAGGACTGTTGGTGTTGTTCATATCGTTAGTGGAAATAGGCTTATCACCCATTGTTGGTATATTATTTAATTGGTGTTACTAATGCAATAAAGATAAACATATTAACTGCACGTTGAGTGTACTGCTATCGAAAGCTATAAATGCGATAATATGCGAAACAGACGTGTAGCATGGTCGGCCAGTGAACACGAACTGATATATACTTTAAAAATTTGTTAAATATGTATATTTTATCATCAGACCCTATTTTTGATTGTATTTTTTAGTATTTTATATTTGATACTATGCCATTCAATACTCCGGCAATTTCATTTTGAAACTAAAAATATATTGAAAAAAGAATAATATTATTTTTGTGAAGGATGACATTAAAATTATGGCATAATTGTTTTTCTACTGAAATTTAATTTAATAACACACTAAACTAACATAAATTATGTTTTAATTATATGTAGTACTAGCTTTCGATATCCGATAAGGTTTAGTTTATCAGGACTGAGTAAAATGAAAGAAAATAATATTCGAGACAAGGAATTTCGATGTAGTGAACCAGGAATTTTTTCTCTGTCCTTTGAAATTCGTTGTATTAAACCTAACCTATCTTGGCAGTTAATATGTCTAAAGAACAAGATTTACTTACATCATTATACAATTTTATCACTATTGCCCAAAAATATATATTTTTTTTTTTTTACAATATTTCTTTATATACGATGTTCTTTACCATTTTAGAAGTTGGAGTCAGCACAATTAGGATATGGGATGAGCTCACACGTTAGCATATTACGTAATACTGACAATGGGAGAAAAATTCCTGTCTCAAGTTAAATCCTGTGAACCTCGGGGGAAATTGCAGTCTCTTAAATTGAAAAAACAGATCATTGGGATGCAATGGGATAAGTGGAATATATACAATTTTACCTTGAACAGATCTGGTAATGATAGTTGCTTCTATTACATTTCGATGTTAAGTTTTAATTTACAGCCTAATGCCATTATAAAGTTTAGTGGTTTTAAATTTCTAACAACATTATTGATGTATCCACATACAATAGTAGCCGATGGTACGGAAAAGTGGGTGGTTTTAAAGTGTTCAAGAACTCTATTAAGTAATGAACGAAGTCGTCTGTATTTACTATTGAATCTATTGAATTGTAAATAATTTATTCTTCTTCAAATTATAGCAGTAGCGTATCATTAATAACCGCTGTTTGGTCTTTTTTTTTTTGTGGTCAGTATGGATTTTTGATAAAACCATTCGATAGACTTATCCTGAATATGGGCTAAATTTGGATACATTTTCTATATTAGCTCTTGAACTGTGATTAATATAATGCCCAGTTCGTGTGGGATAAACGTGAGTTATGCCACATTTTTCCGGACAACCATCGTTTTCCATATTAAGTAGATCTTAAAATTGGCCAGTTGAATATATTCCTCCCAAGTGTATTCTCATATTTTTGGTCAGTTTTATTATCTCAACTGATGGCCACAAAAAACGATATTTATAGGCATGCATTAATATCATTAGCACATGTTTCTCTTGGTACTCTTGGCGGGTAAGGTTTGGCGAAAATCTGCAAACAATACTGTCATACTACCCATTAAGTTCCTATTACTCCTTATGGCTTACGAAGTATTAATTAATTTAAATTAATTGTTCACGGTCACCACCGGCCAGTCGCTCACATAAACACTATCTGTTTTAATAAGCACGATAGTTTATTGTACTGTTTTATTAAAATTTATCTAGGCACGTAATGCCGAATTGTATAGCGTGATCGTACAGTGATAATTTTTTTGTACTGATAAATTATTCTATTTTAAGCGCAAATCGCCTCTATTACAGCATAGCAGTATTAAGGCGCGTTCCCACAGCGCAGGGTTCGGCGACCTAGTACCTGATAAAAAAGCTCGGTACACTATACGCTCTTGCTCGACTACGCGCGGCATAAGCTGGTCATTGTCCGTGGCAGGCACGGCTTCAAGGGGAGGGGAGTGCACTGGAGCCATGCCCCTCCCAGACTTTTCAAAAGTTTAAATATATTAATACATTTTTGTCCTTGTGAACTGTAAAATCCCGATTATTTAATTAGATACCTACCTAACAATTTTATTTTGCCTAAAAAAACATATTATGACATTTTTATGAGGTGTGTATCATAATACAGGAACGTAGTTGAACTCTGTGTCTCAGTACTAATTTAGGGAAACAACTATTATCATTTAATACTCAATTACAGTCATAACATTGTATTTGATTTAAACTCGCAAATATTAGCAACACTCCCAGTAAGTGTTGCATCGGATGAGAGAAGTTTTTCAACTTTACGCAGAGTAAAACTTAGCTTCGATCAGTGGCGTAATTGAGAATGTTTCATGAGGGGGGGGATCAAAATAAATTTGTATGGCAAACTTGTGGGGGCAATGCTTGTGAAATTCAGTATCACAATTTAGTCTGATATTTTTTAATAAAAAAATATAAAAAAATAAAAATAAATAAAATAAATAAATATAAAAATATAATATCTTCAACAAGGCTTACTGCTTCTCTTAAATCATTTTTTTTTTTTTTAGCAACTTACACAATGGTAATCCAAAAGAAAAAACCAATTGGAAAAATATTTTATTATAAAATAAAATTAATTATATTTATTAATTACTATTTACTTGAATAACTTATAAAGATACAAGAAATTCTGAATCAATAGTTTTTAATAGTATATTAGCTTACGTTGCAGTGGAATCATTCCAATTAGGAATATTTTCTGTACCTATGATTCAACTACGAATGCAAATAGTTCAATGAAATCTGTTATCGCATCATAATGCTGCACCCATCGTGTAGCAAACAATCTTTTTAAAGTTTTAACCTTAGGATCCTCATTACTATTTTCAATGTTGGTTAAAAGAACATTTTGACAATTAAGTGTAATAAAGAAAACATAGACATTTACGGATAAATATCCGGGTTTTTTTTTTAGTTTCGTAATAATTTATAAGTTTATATTTGAGCTATTTGTATGTTTAAGACAATATACAGTCAACTCGCGATATAACGAATTTCAAGGGACCGAGCAAAAAGTGCGTTACATCGAAATTCATTCTATCAAAAACATAAATCAACATAATTTGTTTAAACGATATTTAAAAGAAAATTTAGATTTTATTAGATTTTTATAATAACATACCGACATATAATATTAGATTATTATTAAATATTTTATAAGATACATTCACACATTTTTGTTTATTACATACATACATACTTCTTTTTTTCTAAAAAAAAATCAGTTTTTTGTGTGTGTGTGTGTGTGTGTGTGTGTGTGTGTGTGTGTGTGTGTGTATATATATATTTGCGCTTACACGATTAATAGTGTTGTCCAAATTTAGAATATTACAAAATACACTGTCGTCAATATCATGTCTTTGTAAACAATTTAAGACGGCGCGGCGACCTAATTTTGCTACATTCGAGCTTACGGGGGCTCGACGTCCCAAGTTTTATTCAAAATCTCATCATTATTGAGAACTCCATAGGTAGCCAAATATCTGTCAATAACAACAAATTTATGTTTATATTTAATACAATTTACATTTAACAGACGTGTATCATATAAACGATATATGAACATCTTATCACATAATAATAGCCGAAACAAACTTGTAAGACGTAGAGTATCAATCTCCAAAATTTGTAAAATTCGTTACATTGCGTGAACTTTGACCAAAAAATCTTCGTTATATCGAGGGGACCAAAATACATTTAATTTTTCGTTATGTCACGAGATTTTCAAGGGTCCGACAGTTTTATTCGTTATATTGAACTTCGTTATACCGCGAGTTGACTGTATAAATATAGCTCATGGGGGAAATCTATCCCCCATATCCCCCCCGTAATTACGCCCCTGGCTTCGATTAAGAATGGAGGAAGATCGTTTAATAAGTTTATGCTTACTAAACGTACATCAAAATATCAATATATATATATATATATATATATATATGATAAAGTGTATGAAATAATAGAATTATTTGCAAAACAAAAAAAAAGAAGACTGGAGTTTGTATTCAATATTTTATTAAATAAAACCAAGTATAATGTGTACAAGAGATTATTTATTGGGAAATTTGCATTCCCGGTTAGTATATTCTCTAAGCCCCCTCAGGAATTTAGCGATAGCTAAAGAAAAAAAAAATGCCTTCTCCTTAGTAAGTCTCTGAAGCTGCGTCTGGTCTGTGACCATCCAAAAATAAGTCGGTAAATTGTAACCGTGCCAAAGAAGATGAGACATTAAATTATACGAGTACAACGTTCTCATTTGCGAGGGATTACATTTTTCATCCAACTTTGGGCCCGTATTTTAGGATAAATATGGAAAAACACAAAGGATCGAACAAATGATATTGTTTTGGAGTTTTTAAGGTCCTACGAGGTCTACTCACATATTTCAGACGCCGACATCCCGATCGTAAGCATCGAAATCTTGTCTGCGGTGCATAGAAATAAATCGAAAAAAATCTCATGTAGATACAAATTTATAAAATTTATTTTAATTTAATTTAAATTTTAAATTAATTATAGGTACTCGCCATTAAAAATTACTAAATGTCAGCAGCTGCGCAAGCACCAATTTGCGAATGATCTGTGGTGTTGGACATTCTGAAATGATCGTTTGCGTTGACTAGTGAATAGTGATCCCGGGTAGAACGAAATTCGCCGTGAGAACGTTCTAGGCGCGTGGTTCGGCGTTCTAAGTATTTTACTCAAGCACACAGTAACGCCTTCCAAAAGCTCGTCAAACCTCGCGCCGTGTGAACCCTTCATCACACATACGCAAGTGTGGGGCCGTTCGGGCTACAACACCAATACGATGTTATAAAAATTATTATTATTATAAACTATTTGTACATTGTTATTTTATTATGCACAGTAATTAGTAAACTGTATAAGTATGCACACACCAAGTAAATCAGAAATTTTACCGAAAAAAATCTAAAATTTTTGGAAATCCCGTTTTACCACCTTTTTGCTATTTTTACTTTTGAGATAAATTTATAAAACACGTTAAGGATGGTATTTTGAAAAATCCTTTCGTAGAGCTCGCTTACCTTGTAAAAAGTACTTCTGTTCAAAATTTCAAGTTTCTGGATCCAATACTTTAGGCTTGTGCATTGATACATCAGTTTATCTTTCTATATACGAGTACCTATATATATATATACACAAAATATATCAGTATATTATATAGAAATACAAAGCACTTCAATCATAACTTGTGTAAACTAATGCAGTATGTAAGATTTAATATTCAATAATATGGGAATAGCAACTAATCAGTGCCGGTTCGGGAGTGTGTAAAAAGTGCAATCGCACAGGGCCTCACACTTTTGAATCGACTCTTGGGCCTCTATTCTATAGTTAATTCAAAATCGGGGCCTAGCGTTTATAATTTGCACATGCCCTCGCAAATTATAGCTCCTGCACTGCAACTAACCCATACATTTTTAGTTGTAGGTACTTAATATGACATTTTATAAAAAAAAAAAATCTAAATATCTTTAATTATTCAGTTAGTTTTGACGCAGATAGTGTCGTAAAGGAAAGAGACACTGATGGGCATTTAATAAAACTGAATTAAGTCTATGTATAACTCATGGATAAAACGGCTTGTGTGGGTATAATATATTTATTGGCTTGGAAGTGAATAACAACTGTATTCTGAAATTATTAAAATTTGAATTGTATTGAAAAACTATTAGTTGGAAAATAAATATATTATTATTGTTTTCTATATCAAAACGAAGATAACACATTAAATAAAAATCTTGCATGCTTATATATCGGAAAATATAAAAATAATACTGTAGTAGATTTTGTGTGTCGTACAGTTATCGACAGAGAGTTTTTGGCGACCAACTGTCTTTTCAACATTATCGATACCTCGTCTTGCCTTTTCCTTGGACAGGTAAGCTAGGATGGTCGATCAAATCGTATTGATCGTGCTCTACGGTGCCAGTTGGTATGATAAGTCTGCATGGTCCAGAGGCGATTTGAACATTACATTTTACTGAGGCAGAATAATTTAAATCAAACAGCCATCCCAAAAAAAAATGTTCTGGCTCCACTCGATTTACATAATAACTGCTTTAACGTTAAAACATTCATTATAAATAGTTATAAGACTATAGTGAATTGAGATACATACTCATCCCAAAATATTTTTACCTAGACACCGATCCGTTAAAGGTTCTTAAAATCCGCCCTTGTCGCTGTCCATTTTAATGATTGTATTTTGTACTTACAGATCATACCTATCACTTATTAGAACAACGATATAAATAGCGACACAATTACAATTTGGTTTGTTATGTTTAAATATTTTTTAAATATATACACAAAAAAAAACTTTTTTTTTTTATGTAATCGGACTTTATAGCACCAAATATATAAATATCCAAATAGTAGATTGAAATATCTCAAATTCAAATACATACTTGAGATTTACCGTTGTGTGGTCTTTGGTAACGTGATATAATTTTTTTGGCAATAACAAATTTACTGTTTTCATTATCTTTGGAATTTTAGGTTATGTTATCACCACCAACAACTATAATGATAGTGGAAATAAACTAGTCGAACCGCTTTTGCAAGTCATACGGTTAAAATTATTTGTGCTTTGACTTATAATAAATTGTTCGATCCAATACAAAAATCTAAGTGTTGACTTTTGTTCCAATTACTTCAGGTACGCATGATTATATTTAATTTACTTATTTCAGTTTATCTGAGAATAATATATAAGAACTTGGCATTGTTCATTATAACTGTAAACTTAATTGTATTCCAAACAGTAATATATTATAAAATCCATATTATGCATTTTATTCTACATTAATTTAATTACTTTATCAAATAATTCTTTCTCTTTCTCTCTTGGCTTAACAATTCTTTAAGAATTTTGGCCACCACCACCGTTACTGTTATCCAATAATCACGATCCTGGACTCTATTTTCCCAATCCGTCACTTCAAGTGTTTCTAAGTCTTTCCTTTTTTCCATCCATCCATTGCTTTATATGCCTTCCTCTTGGTCTTTTCCAAATAATATATCAAATAATTCAAACTATTTTAATTCAAACAATAATATTTACAAAATTTATTTTATATAAACATTTATTTATTTTGTGAGGATAAGTAAGTAAATACAAAAATGAAGTATTGTTTTCATTTTTTGTGTACTCCAACTTAAAATATCTTTAAATTTGTCCCTCTAATTAACTATCACAGGTCTTTAAATATAATTGTAATAATTATTAAATATTAGTTTTTGTAAAAATGTTTCATGTTATTGAAATTCTAGATAATGAATTAATACTTGTATTTTTTTTTGTAATTATGAATGTAAAATAAATGAAATACTTAAATGTATAATGCATTTATTAAATTACAGTAATTCTTTCAATACAAGTGTAACATCATGTTTTTAACACGTTCAGAATACGATAGAGGAGTAAATACGTTCTCTCCTGAAGGCAGACTTTTTCAGGTAATAAATTAAATCAAATATAAATATCTGAAAGTTTTTATTTTTCATAGCAATTTTTACTGGCTAATTTTCTTCTGTTTAATAGGTCGAATATGCAATTGAAGCTATAAAGTTAGGTTCAACAGCAATTGGCATTTGTACACCTGAAGGAGTTGTATTAGGTGTAGAAAAAAGAATTACTTCACCATTAATGATAACCAGCAAGATAGAAAAGATTTTTGAAGTAGATAAGCATATTGGTTCGTACTAAAAATATAAAATGTATTATTACTTTATGATACTCATACTAGATATAACTCAGGTTGTGCTGTTAGTGGACTCATTGCAGACTCTCGTACTATGGTCGAAAGAGCCAGAGCTGAGTCACAAAACCATTGGTTTACATACAACGAACAAATGAGTGTTGAATCGGTTGCGCAAGCAGTTTCTAATTTAGCTATACAATTTAGTGGTGATTATGATAGCAAAGAACCAGCTATGGTATAGTTTATATTAAAATTATTATTATATAGGCAAATAGTTATTATTATGTTTATTAATTTATATATTTTATTCTTAGAGTCGTCCCTTTGGTGTTGCAATTATGTTTGCAGGCATTGACAATAATGGTCCACAATTGTTTCATTTAGATCCATCAGGCACATATGTCCAGTATAACGCTAAAGCCATTGGATCAGGAAGTGAAGGTGCACAACAAACATTACAGGAAAAGTACCATAAAGTATGTACTATAAATAAAATGTATAATTGTTAATATTAAAAAAACAATATTTATTATTTTTTTAGTCAATGGGATTAAATGAAGCTATTAATGTTATTTTAAACATACTAAAACAAGTTATGGAAGATAAGCTCAGCCCAACTAACATAGAAATTGTTACTGTAACGCCTGACAAACTCTACCACATGTTAGATAAAGAAGAGCTTCAAGAGGTCAGTCAATAAACACTTTAGACTATATTATAAATTCATTTGTTATTAATAATCATAATTATAATTTTAGGTTTTTGATAAGCTTGTGCCTTTCCCAGAAGAAAATAAGGCTAGTTCATCAGCTGCTGTTTCAGGCGCTGTTGCTTAAAAACTTAATTTGGTTATAAGATATAAATATAAAAAAACTCATATTTCATTAGTGTATGTCACTTTTGAAAAAAAATTATACAATAACTATTTTTCATATGATTAATATTTGTCTTGCATTCTTTTTATATTTAGTAAATATCTTAATATTTTTAATTTATATTTACAAGAAAGTATTAAAATGGGTTATTTTGAAATTTATTTAATAATTTTTTTTTTAAATATTCAAGACAAATTTTTTTTTATAAAAAGCTGAATCAGTTGGCCATAGGGGTAAAATACTGCTTTTGATGAGAGGAATTACTATTTGATGAAAAAAAAATATTGTATATTTTAATCATGGTTATTTTTATTTATTTATACTATATTCATTTACATTTACTATTATTAATAATTATGAAAATTAACAAAATATTTTCTGGGTTAGGAAATATATAAGAATAAATAAATAATAAAATATATCCTAGGTAACCAAAAAATGGAAAAATGTATACATGCAGCCAAGTGGCCGAAACTGTTTGTGACCCTTAAAAATGTAATTTTTGAAATATCTTTTCTTATTGCACATATACTTAGTAATAAGTAGAGCTCTTACACATATCACGTGTAAAATTCAAAATAAAAACGTATATCTTAAACTTAATACTGTACTATTAATATTTTATTAAAACTTCAAGTGTATAACATAAAATTACTAATTTTACCATTGTAAAAATGGATATATATTTTGAATAAACATGTATTTCACGTGTACACATGAATTCCGTGACACGTGTTTTAAGAGCTCTAGTAATAAGTACATTCCCTCAACATTTAAAAGTAATAATTATGGTAGTTTTGACTGTTAGCTGATAACTGAGTGAATGAGTGGTATTTAAATTGTATGTAAATATTTTGACTTGATTATTATTATTTTTAATGATTCAATCCGGTTTATAATATTAATTATTTTAATATTACTATGATTATTCTTTATTGTGATTTATTTGTCAGCAATACCTATTTTCTCATTACTGCAGATAAATATATTGATCTTACAATTGTAATTATAAATAATCGTAATATTCACATTTATAATTGTTCGTGTCACCATAATTTATCTGTAGTCCAGTAGTTTCCTAGCTGTAAAGTACTTATTAAGGGAGGTGCAAGGCAAATATTTCTATTCTATATTGAACTGCCATATATTTATTTTTAGATTGACACTAATTTGCTTATATATAAATAAAAAAAAAATTATTTATTTAGGTATGATTAATTTTTTTTTATTTGAGGATGGTTGACAAAAAAGTTTGGGAATCGCTGCTGTAGTTTTTTTACTGTATCTACCTATTTTAAATTTTATTATTTTATTGTTTAAAATATTTACATATATTTTTGGTTTTCAGTGAGTTTTTCATATTATAGTACTTAATTTAAGTTATCTGATATGGCAAAGAAAAAAATTAGGATTGATTCAAATACATTTCTGGGTATCACTGATTTAATTTATTATGTGTAAATCATGAATGAAAAATAATAAATATTTAACCTGAAGTTTTATATATTTAAAGTTTGACCGGTTTTAAATTAAAAATTCATTGTTAAGTAGGTATGTACAAAATCAACTGAAACATGACTCTTCCAACTCATTTAATGAACAGGGTTAAATATTTTAATATAAAATTAATAAATACTAATTTAAATATCTACTATTTCAATAAAAATTCAGTCATTCCAAAATCAATATATATATATATAATAAATTTACTACTGAAAAAATAAATAAAAGAAAATAAAAATTAGTAAATGGTTAATACTCAAAATATTTGATATCCTGATGTAAAAATGGATGAATTCAAAAAATTAGAATTAACAAATTTTTAACTTTAAAAGCAAAATGGGTTCATAATACATAATACTTAAATTAATGATAAAGTGTAATATATTTAATTATTTTGTAATGTTCAATGACATATATTAAAAAAAATTCTGAGAGGCTTTGATTTGTTTGTAGAAATAAGTATTTATAATATAATTAAATCTAGATTGATTATAAAAGATCTGTAACTACACGTAAAACCACTTTTTACCATTATTTCTCTATTATGATTTGCATCATAATATAATATAAATATGTATAAACAATAAACAAATATAAATTAATTACTCTTTCTCTTTACATATCAACATTGATTTTGGAATAATTTTATTATTTTTTTAGTTTATAATCAATGATAGCTAGTCATGTATAAGTTTAAACCACTTTCTTCATATTTTTTTTAATGCAATTTTGTAAATACTTCATTTTAGTAAACTAGATGATCATTGTACTTTTTAACTGCTAAAAATAATTTTGATTTTTTTTTTATTCTGGACAGTTTAGACCTATAAAAATGTTCACTGTTCATAAGACTGTTGATTTATATTTAATAGAAATAAATAGTGATTATTAATTTTATTCATGAAATATCTGCTGCAGGTGTTTTATACATTTGTACTATGCAATTTAATATAAACTCTGATAGGCAATTTTTAAATAAATATTACATATTATGTGACTGATTACTAAACATTAAAAAGTAAATAAATAAAAAGAGGTGCATCATAATAAGTACAATACTTTATTTTAAATAACCTAAAATCATATTTTAATATATTAAAAATTTATAAATAAACGTAAAATAGATACAAAAATATGATTATAGAATATAAAATATATAGTCGGACGGATTTAATAATAAATAGTATAAAACACATCATAAGGTATACAATCATATAAATGTAATGTAAAACAAAATAAATAACCATATAAAAGGTTGACACGTATCAAAAAACTTTGAATACAATAATAAAAATACATCTAAATTCTTAATTTAATTTTTTTACAGTATAAAGTTTTATTTCATAATTTGATAAAAACTATAGAATTTAATTGTAAACAAATTAAAAGTATGTATTATAATGTTCCAAGATTACTTATAATAACTGTAATCGTAATTTATATGTTTTAATACTATCAAGTATGTTCTTAACGGCAAGAACTAAAAAATACATAGTCAACAATGTAAATAATTTAATATTAACATCCATTACAGACATTAATTATATTTATGAGTAAAAATCTTACTGATATTAATTTGTTGCATACATTATAATTTTTAAACCCTTGAATTCATCATTATTTTTCTTGAAAAATATTCAAAGTTGAAAATTATGAATGCTAGATGAAGCATACTCTGGTCTATACATGGCACCTTTATGAGAGCGACCTGTTCTATTGGAAAACTCAGAAAACCTGTCTTGATCCATCATCGGTTGTGGCATCAGCATAACGGGTTGTAAATTCAAAGATTTTCTAGATCCAGCCATTGATACACTACTATCGCCCAAATATCCGTTCATTTCACCTAAAAATATAATATTATTAATAACATTTAACTATAATTCGATATATTAAAATATTACCTTTGCGTAAAGTAGAAGCGTATAATGGTTCTGGTTGGAGTTTTATATGTCTAGTGGCTAAAATAAATGCTAATGCTGACAGAATAAGTGCATCCACACCAGCAATAACAGCTAATAAATATGCCCAACGAAAGCTACAATCACCAAGATTGTAGCTTTTAGCATTGGGACCACACGTTTTCTGAATATTGGGCGAGTCCCAGCCAAATGGAAACACAACAATGGATGTGATCAGACAACCAGCTAATCATTGAACATAAGTAATGTTAATGAAACATACTTAGTATTATAATAAGAATAGAAATAAATAAAAAACACTTACCAGATAAAATGTGTAACCATCCACAGAGAAGATACACAGTGGTCGTTTGAAAGAAAAAGAACAGTAACAACATCACCACAATTACAATAGCAATGCACACGGACACACCACCGAAAATAGCTGCTACTCTTAGAGCCATACTTGGTATGCTAGACAATTCCAGTTTTCCCTGGCAATCTTCGACGGCGGACGACACGCCATTACCGAAGTAACAACTGTTCCACAGACCGAAGCGGGCAGGGTTTTCGGATGTCGTCGTGTCGCCTATCCACTCGGGAGTGATGAACGCCACCGCAACGATGATCGCGTAGCAAACCGTGAATATACCCCACAACACGCCGACCGCCTTGGCGTTGCGCACGTAATTCGTGGCGTACAACTGTGACGAATCCACGTACTCGACTTTGGAACCCATTTTTCAAAAACGGATTCGAATCGAACGAAAATTGTGTGGTACAGATAACGGATAAAAACCTAGTTATCAGGAACACCACATCATACTGTCTACCAAGTATATATACTCACAGTTACACGAAACCGCTAGAGCGGAAATGTTATTGTTCGACTAAAACGTCTTTTCGATCCGATGATTTTCAACGATTGAGATGGGAAAGAACGTTGCAAGCGAGACCCACTTATTTCCCGTACAATGAGATTAAAAATAACAACAACTTGGTCTTATTTTCTCATTATGATGGTGCCCGGTGGGGACGAAGACTTGGCAAAACATTGATAATCATATTGATAAAAATATTTTCATGGAAAAGTAAACTCGAAGAAATTCGTGGATAAATATATATGGAATAAACCTCCAAGATAAGAAACATTTTATTTGTTCCATCACAAGTATAAATACCTACATTCACTTGTGTCTTAGAACCAGTGGCGTATTTATGGAATAGGATATTGAGGGATTTAAACCCCTCCCTAGAGAATTTTCAAGTCCTCAAATATTGAAATTTCCATCAATTTGAAGTTTGTTAATTTTGTAAATTCGAATAAAGGAAAAATATTAATTTATTTATTTTTAATTATTTATAAATTGTATTAATTTTATAAAACTATATTTTTTAAAAACTTATATAACCCAGGTACGATAATATTGGTGTTTTTGACTGTGAAAGTCGAAACATATAATACACTTCATCCAGATTTAAATATTACTACTGATGGAGTTATTGACGAATTGGCAAATAAAAGAAGAAAGCTAAAGTTTATCATATAGTTTATAATTAATGAAATTACATTTTTCCACATGAAGATAATAAAACAAATAAAAATTTAATTTCGACCATTTTATACTGGATTTATAAAAAAAAATGTATGATGAAACCTCATCTCTCCTCCCAAAAAAACACGTTTGTAAATACGCTACTGCTCGGGACAGTAGTCCTGCTTTGGAACAGGCGTTTTATGAATAGAAAGTCCGTAGTTTTATATTGCTACGTTTATTTGCAATTCCCTCGATCTTCCGGGGCCCAGTGACGGCTCGTGAGGTTCACATAAGATGATGCATAAATAATTTGTAAGATACGTATGTAGGGGTAAAAAAATATTAATATTATTATAGGTATAGGTACATAGAACATACTTATCAATATTTAATTTGCTTAAGCTTTTCGTCACTGTAAAATAAAAATAAATTAGAAAAAAAAACGTATTAGTTATGTATGAAACAAAAACAGAAAATCTTGTTTCGGCGATCGATACAAAACGCGGAACGAAAATAATATTTTTATTTTTAATAAATATTTTTGTTAATTATAGACTATGTGTATAACCAATTATAATTTACTATAGGAATCTAATAAGCTTGAAAAACTTGCTAAAAACAAGGAGGTATGGAGAGATGTAGTCAGGGCCGTGGAGAGAAATCAAGGGCCCCAGAGACAAATTAATCCAGGCCCTTCTCATACGAAGTATTTAACTTGTCACTGACAAACCAGTGTCTTCTTTTAAAATGTGTATACCAAAGAGATAATGTAATCGCAGTCATGGTTATTCCACAGACTAAATGAAAATAATTATTTATAGCTTATGGGTCTTTCTTGAAAATGTTTTTTATCTATGTTTTAGATTAATATTGTAGTATTTTTGTACTTTATTTCAGACTCATTATAACTATACGCATACGCTATAATTATTTGGGTAGGTTATTAGCACAATTCATGTTGGTGATCCATAAATTGCTCGAAACTTTGACCGAGACGTAGTGAACTTGGTCAGGCCCCGGGCCCCTGGGCTGCAGCCCCAGCTGCCCTCCCTCTTCTCGTCGGGCTAGGGTGTAGTGGAAGCGGCAATGGACCTACAGAGCCCAGATTTAGCTAACCATTTTGATATTAAGATTCCACGGTATAAATAAAACAATATTAAACATTTATATGTTCACTACTTTAATATATTGTACAATTGTATAGTGGTTTGTCGCATTCAGATATCGATATTTGTCATTAAATTATTACAACGACGACCGACGTGCGATCTTAAACTGCTGTTACCTTACTATTTTATAATTTTTGCTGATTGTCAATTTTATTTTCTGTTGAGTTCTGTCGATATGTCTGTTCTATGAACAGGACACAGAATTTACAAAATAAATTAAATTATGTAACCATATGGGAAGATATGTATTTAAAGTTTTGACGTCCCAGATAAAGTTTTATTGCCACCCCTACATACGTTTTATACGATTTTTCAAGAAAAATAATATTTATTATCTATGAATTTTACACGGTCAATTTTTGATAATATTATCATGAAAATAGAAATCGACGTGTGGTCACTATAGAAAATCTTAAAATATTAAAATGAATGAAAATGGATGATGGATTATGGTTAAAAAAAAAATATTGCCATCCCTTAATTCCAAAAAAATTTTCCGCCCGGGGCGATGGTACCCCCTATCCCCATACCCCCTAAATATGTTCCTGCTATCAAATAAATGGTCGGTGGTTTGGATAAATAAGACTGGGATAGACAAATTTTTCTTTTATAATTAAAAATTAATTATCATAATAGTATATAGTTATAATTTATTACTTATAAGTAAAAGAAAACTTATTACTGTAGTTAACATATTTAGACATTCGCCTAATCTCGTTAAGCGATTGTAACTAACATAAATACATATTTTATCAGATTTCCTGAGAACGAAAATCTGCACAGAGTCTCGTGATTACAACATCATATTCTGAACAAAACAAAGAATTTGATTTTTATTAGAATTATTTTTGTCTTTTATTTATACACTTTTTCTGTTTCATGCATAATAAATGCATATCAAATTTTTCACGCAGCATATTATTTAAATTAAAAATTAGACAAATGTTTTATTAAAGAAACAATATATTAGTTCGATCTAGCTTGTAGTTTTCTTTCGTTCTAAAAAAAAAAATTAAAAACTACGTTGATATAATATTTGATTTCTCATTTGATTTCTCACAGCAACATATCTTATTTAATTTGATAAAGTAATAGCACTGGGTTGTAAGTGCTAAAAATACAAGATTTAAATTATATTTTGTGTGAAAACTTTAGAGCATTCGACTTGGCCATTTTTTTTTAAAACTATATTTATTTATAGAAATCTTCATAAAAATTATTATTTAAATATGTATCATCATTTGGCTGAACTATGCATAACGAGTTATCGTTATGTATTATATCTTATTTATAATTAAGTAAAACAACCGTTCACGGTCCCTCTATGTAATGGTATATAATTAATAATAAAAAAGAATAGTTCGCACCAATAACATTGCACATTTACGTATTATAAATTATATATATTGATTTCAAGGAAAATTATATATTTTATCAATTATATCGATTATCCACTATACGTTTATATGAATGATGGGAAAATTTTGCACTTCTATAATCCCACTTTATAATAAAAGCCAATAACACGATCACAGTTCATAATAACATGGTAGTATGGTACCAATAAGCATCTATATACACATAAACATTACAAATTGTAGCACAACACTGTAATTATTTCGGTTATGCCGTTTTTGCCGCCGTGTCCTTCCACGCAATAAAAGTACTCGTAACATTCTTCGTCTTTCCATTTTTTGTTCAATGTTTTTCAGCCTTACGTGTACGACCGTTATTATTTCATCTGGTGGGTTTAAAAATGAACAAGGGTAAATTATGTACGAGGGGCTAATCCGTGTCCGAATTGTCGCCGCCGTGTTTTATTACAGCAATTATTAATTTTTTCAAAACATCTAGGTATGTAAGTTAAGTACATAACGTGTTGCAAACAGGCCGGGGTCGATCTCGTTAACCCTTTGCCACCGGTTTTTATAGCGTAGGTATACGAACCGCTGGCAGAGACATTGCAGTTGATGTTAATCCTTCGAGTATATTTATATAGACTGCATCAGAACCCCGAAATGATCAGGTGCGTATGTTTCTCGTAGACATTTTTCAACAATACCCGTTTATAGCCCGGAGCAGGACAGTTGTTCAATCCGTTCATCCCTTATTATCTTTATTATATTATTATGCGTATAGATATACCCAATTAAAATGCCACCAAAACTATACTATATTTACCTTTGTGTCATTCGAATGGTTTGGACGAATAGTTTGTCAATGGGACGGGGTGTATTTTTTTTTTTTTTTGAGTAGACCCATGTGTAAGAATTTAAGTTCAGCGTTATTTCAAATAAATATAATACAAAATATTATAGTATGAATAATTTGACTTAACTATTTATTAATAAACGATAACTGCTTCAGTGTGCTGAATATACCGCCTGTATTAAGCTATGTAACATGCTATTAACTACGTGTGATGATTAAAAATTATAGAAAAATATTATTTTTTAACTAGGTAACTACAATAATTAGAATTCTTTTATTGGTAAATTTTTAACAATAACTTATAAAAGTCATAAATGGTTAATTATCTTATTAAGTACCGTAAAAGATATCATAACCATAAGGTACAAAGTATACATCGTAAAAAATCATTAAATAGATGCTTATTAAATATGTATCTTAGCATCATACTAACTACTGTTGTATTTTTTTATTGTTACCCTTATAATTTATAACTATCAATAACGACAAAACATTTAAGACTAAGGTATATGGATACTTAAGTATATAGGAGAAAGAGCGAGAAAGTGGTCAATAGTTTACATATAGAAGTCGATATTGAAAGACACCGCTATTGTTGTTTTTCACATATAAACGTATAGGTACGTAGTATCATTGATTATAAATACTAGTATTTATAATCAATTGTAGTATGAAGTAAGTATGTACTTCACTTCCGCCATCGCACTTCTTTGATACTAAAATGTTATTCTCGTCAATATACGACACCTAATTATAAGTTATAACTATGGTAACACTTTGCACATTCAAATAAGTAAAAAATTGTTATTATTAATATCAAAAAATATATTATTAGTAATAATATATTTTTTGATAATAATAAAACAGTAATAATTTATTACTATTTAATGCGATACCGTGCACGGTATCATGATTTTACAGATCTCATGAAATTCACGAGAAAGTACTTAATTTTTCATTCAGACGTGCTAAAATTGTTTTTCACGTATTATCATGTAGGTTTTTTGTACAATGATCGTTTGCGTGACACGTCTTGTCATTGGATCACGATTATTATATACAGGGCGTCGGATCACAATGGAAAATTACACGGTTGGCCGCCGGTCTCTTTGATGACCAACAATAATAGATTACATCGGACAATTACACATTGCACGCATGCCCCACACACATGCACGTGTGCGCACACGAACATTTAGACAACAAAATATGATGTTTTTTCCGACGCGACAAATTGAATTCCGTGTAGGTATTGAAAAATTGAACTTCCTTCCTGCATAACTGGTTTTTAACCTTTGAGAACTACTTCGGCTAATCATTTTCAATCATAAACTCGCGTATACCACCAACATTATTCATAAAATTTATTACGCTAATAATTTTATTTTAATGGAAAATCAATAATACCCCATAAGTCTACAAAATATTATTACTGTCGTCAGTTGCTTAAATTATATTTTTACACTATAATAAGTGTGATAGAGCAATTTAGGTGTCCTCATACACGAACAATTATCTTTTTTTAAGAGATAATATACTTAAAGTAGATAACATTTACTACGTACTTATTTTTATCAGTTGTTGAACAACACGGTTTATCAATTGTTTATAAATCTAATAACTCTATTTTAAACATTTATCTCTAATTTACAAATTATAATTTATGTGCCGCAAAGGCATGATGTATAACATGAACACAAATTATTTTTTAGAATCAAAGTAAATGAAAATTTACTTTTCTTTTAAATTATTCTATAATAGATCATTTTAGTCATAGTAAATGATTAGATGGTATTAACCATAGTAAATAATTTATTATTTACTGTGATGCAAACTGCAAATAATATATTTATATACATTACAATACTACAATGTATAGAATCGTCTTTTAACTACCGATAATTTCTTATTTTAGGAATAATAAAAATTAAATCTATTTTTATTCAGTAGATAGAAAATATAAGTTAACCGTTACGTACTAAAAAGTGAGAAAATATTTTTTTATAAGTTTTTTACGGGTTGAGTTGATTAGATATATTCTCTTTTATAAACGAAAGAAAGTATACTTAAGTAAGTAAATAAGAATGTATACTTACGAATTTTATCCGACATACGATTTATAAGCAAAATGTTCTATACATATATTTATTAATAATTTAGTATAATTCTAGTGAGAAAATGTATTTATTTATAATTTATATTTACAAACACTTACATATACAAATTGCATATTGTATTGATTCAGTAACAATTGTGTCTTAAAATTATTTTAAAACATTAATTCATATTTACATAGTTCTTTGGCTTGTCTCAGACATTTTTATGGATTTATACATGAAAAAAATCGAAATGGTATTTTAATATCGGTGTTGCTGACACATAAATTGTTGTTGCACATCAACATAAAACGCAGTTGACATTACATTTCCAGTCAATCCACACGTGCACACTCCGTCCACCAGAAGGCCACACGGAGACAGTGGTCGTGGCCGCGGTGCTGTAGGTTTCAATATCTCTTCGATAGTGTAAGGAGTATGCGGTTTTTTGGCACCTGGTGCTGGTTGACCGTTCGATGGTTCGCCAATGACACTTGGTCCGTGTTCGAGTTGATGCTGGTGAATTCGTTCGTAGTACAAATCTAGCATGCATAATATATCGCATATTTAATATAAATCACCAGAGGCGAAGGTATTAAAGAGGGAGAGGGATTTTAACAATCAAATCAACAGTTTAATTACATGCATATATGTCATACTTACAAGTATACAATATTTTTAAGTTAAAATCTAAATTATTTCCATTTTTAATTTTTATTGAAATTAAATGCAGACATTAATTTAAGTACGTAAACGATAAATACTTTTATTTTTTATTATAGGCTATGATAATTTGAATTCAAGCATCATAAGTATGAAAAAAGGCAATGTTAGACACAAATCCAATAAAAAATATTAAGTTAAGAAATTATACAACGTAATTTTTTTATCGTATACATTTATAATACGTACAAGTCATTAAGTAAATAAATGATAAAAATCTTTTTTTAAACAACAAAATCTGTGCTTCTCTTTGTTTTTTAATTTTTATCGAAGTCATTGATATAACAATTATTTTAAACCTTTAATTATTAACATTCAATTTGAGGGAACATTTTTAGTAAACGGTTGTATATATATATATATATATATATATATATATATAGTATATACATAATACATACTTAAGGATGTTTTATGACTAAATTTAAATGTTTGCATATTTTTTTATTTTTTTTATTTTTTTCTTTTTTATGCAAATATTCATAGTTCAATATTTTTAATATAAGTATTTTACCTAAAGGATGTATCCATGGTAGATTGCGAATCGAAGAAGGTACTGTTTGAGATCCGTTGACTCTGTTCGATATAATATCTTGCTTACATCTGCCACTTTTTTTTGAGAAATTTCCTTGAGTTGTCTAAAATATAAAAGAATATTTTATAATTCAGCGTTAAGTTTATACATGAAATGTATTAAAAAATGATTTTTGAATTTCACTTAAGTTTTTCGTAGAATAATCAACAACTAATAATTATTTAAAAATAAAACAATAAAATCCAAATAATATTCTTTGAATATTAATTGAAAAATAAATATTAAATATAACACAATGTTGAATCCGAAAAAATCAATTATAAGTAAAAAATAAAATAAAAAAACCATATGAAAATATACTGAACAATGGGAATTCGTATTGAGCCAAATAAATATTTCGCTTTTTCAACTTTTTTGTTTATCCTAACTATATAATATAACTTATGATCTAGATAACATAGTCAATCAAATTTTCGCCTTAGTCTGATTTCATTGTACTATTTTAGGCTGCATGGGTATTTACTTTATTTTTTTGCAACCCAGCACCGCCGATAGATCCTGGTCGTATTGAACCAGTTTCGTAAAACCGTGTCAGGATTTTTGATACGCATCCGTGTGAAACCAAAAGTTGTCGAGATATGTCACATGGTCGAACTCCTAGTAGAGCTAACTGTACTATGCGTCTTCTAACGTAGTCAGGCAACGGACGACCGTTGACAAATACACCACCCAATTGGTTAACGCCTGCTTGACCTGCAATTTTGAATAAAATTATTAATATTGACTTTATATGAATTTAATAAGGGTTTTTGGTATAAATTTAGACAGATTAGCTGTATAGCTATTTCTAATTTGAATAACAATAATGTTTACAGTTAGTATCCGTTTCTGTCAATTAAATATATACTATATAAGTGTTAAATACAGCGTAAAATTCCAACACATTTCACAACAAATTATAAAATACGAGCTTCTAGAAAAAAAAACATTACATTTTGGATAGCATATTTTCTCAATTTAAAAAATTGATAATTATTATTGACTTGAATATAAATTTATAATTTCCAGGGATCCGTAAATTTTTTTTTGGGGACATAAGAGCTCCGCAAACAAAAAAGTTTGAAAATTACTGGTTAAAATAATTACTTGTTTTAGATTCAGATTGAAACTAGGAGTGTAGTACTTTGTTAAAATTAAAAAAAAGAAATAATAATACTATTGATAGAAAACTTAATATATTCTGCAGTAAAGAGATTACAAAATAAATTAAAATTTATTCAGAAATGTTAGAAACAAAGACCAAAAATAAGTTAAAATTAATTTTGTATCGTAAATAATTTTTTGTCTTGGACAGAAATAGATAGAAGAACTTAATTTGTGAAACAATGAAAAAAAAATAATACTTTTTCTTAATCATAATATCAATATCAATATTTTCATAATCAAAGATAATAACAATGACAGTAAAATGTAGAAATATTACTTGTATGTTGTAAAAATAAGTAGCTACAGGAAACTATACACTTTTGATAATACCAAGTTAATTTTATCCAATCACTAAAAGTAATAAACATTTGACACGGCATATCGTGTTGGTGATGTATTATTTTACGCGCAAGACATTCGTGCTAGAAATAAAATACAACACTTCTCATTATTTTCAGACATTAACAACAGCAGTCCAAAAGAAATCTAAAAGAAAAAAAATATCATTTTGATGTAGCATGTATATAGTATGGATGGTGTGATGTATATCATGTATGGGTCGATTAGAAGACTCCTAGCACCTTAGGGCGGGTCCGAGCCGGTGAAAATTATGACTCGTCTCTATAATTTTGTAAAACTACCGCCCATTAACACCTAGATAAGCAGATGTACCGACTTGGCTCCCGGTATTTATCATTTGATACGACGCACAATACATGTGTATACAATCTGCACATAATTGATTTTTATGCAGACATCTGAACGAAATATATAATAATAAATGAATAACACACCGAAAAAAACCAGTTTCCTTACATGGTATAAAATTATAATTATGTCGTGTAATAATATTTTTATCACCCCTTTAAAATGCAGATGCACGTGTCTGTTGATTACCAATTTACTACGTTTTGTGTCACGTGAACTGTATTGAGACGATACACGATTGTAAAATAATTTAAGCTAAACTGTCAAAAATTAAAACATACAATGTAAATTACATACTTAAATTATATTATATAAATTACTTAAATATCTCTAATAAAAATTTAAATGCACCATTACATATTATTGCATGGCGATAGATTGGTAATAATATAGATTTTATAATTTATAATATTTATAACATTTGCGTAGTTTAAGATTTTGTAAGGTCAGAAATCAGTTCTCCAGAATTATTTTCTGAATATACTATGGTTAGTATCATTAGGAAACTAAGTCCGTCCATCCTGAGCGTTCACAATCGAGACACCTCCGAGCGTAATATAATTTTTTCTTAACGATTCATCGTTTTACTGCTTCCGTACCCGTTTTGCGTAATTAGCGTAATTGACCGGAACTGAACACGATTATTATAATTATATGTTCACTGTACGGGGTATAGGCTAATAAAAATAGAAACTCGATTGTCATTGCAAGAGATACTATGACTGTGTTTGTAAAGTTTTTGTCTCGTTTTATCCACTGTCGTAACAACACCATGGTCGGCTGAACTGGAAATTTTTCCGTTGCGTCTCCGGGATAACGCCCTTGAAACGCGGGCGTAGTAGGTGATAAGTGCTTTTTATGATGATTATTAATATCAGTATATTTTGGCCGATATCCCTTTTTGTATTTTTTTTTTTTTTTTTTTTTTTTTTTTTTTTTTTTTGTTGGCTTTATTTGTATAACTTTGTATTATAAATTTAAAAAAACCGAGACATGGCGTCACTCGCGAGCAGTAGTGTAAACTAAGTGGTGCAAATGTGGCACTTGCAACACCACATCTAAAATGTGATAAAGATAAAAGATATGTTTTTGTATCACTAGAAAATTATTGAAATTTGTCTACCTAATATTAAAATTACATGTAATATTATTTTCAAGAGCCAAAGAAATCAACATACTAAAAACAAAATTTGATTTTTTTTTTTTTTTTTTATTAATATTATAATAATAAAGGTTTTACTGCTAAAATAATTCAAAATTTATTTATTATTTAAAGAAATATATAGAAAAACATATAGTTTATTGGGGAGAGTTTTACTTAGGAAATTGGAAAATTGGTGTGTTGGAAATTATAAATTGAGAATATGCCTCTGCACCACCAGAAATTAGATCCAATTTACGCTACTGCTCACAAGAGTATGATTATTATAAATATCCGTATTCTGATTACGGCCCCTCGCGAGATTATCCTTCTTCTTTTTATTATTATTACTTTAATTAAATGTATTTTGTTTTTATTTTATTTTGTGCGAGTTTTACGTTAGAAAGAGCTTTCTCGGCACCAATTTAATATAATACATTTTTTTTTATCTATTTCTTTAATTTGTGTATTTTTCCCCGATTGGTGTCTTATCCTTGTTCCCACATATTGTAAAAAGAAAAGGGGAGAAAAAATAACAATAAATCCTATATGCTCCGGCAAACGCCTCGGCTATAGGTTAACTAACCTATTCCGCCAATTGGCGACCCGATACGGCATGTCACAAAATGTTCCACTTATCTGGCCATGATGAAAGCGCGAGACATTACAACTTTATCTATTTAAAATTATAATTATATACCATTAAAGAACTATATTATGCTTACCAGTATGCGGCATATTGTTTAGATGTTTCAAAATGTATATTTCCGTGATATTTTACTGTAGCAGTCGAATGTATTATTCTAAAGCGTCTTCATTTAAAGTGCTAATAGGTCATCTGAAAATTAAAATCAAATTTTAAGTTGCATATTCTTATATTTCAAATTATTTCATCTATTTTAGTTTACAGTAAGATCAAAATATCATGTACAATTTAAAACAATATATACTATTAATTAAAAAATATATGCATACTAGTATTATAGGAAATTTTAAATCTTTTAATCTGGAAAGTAGAAAGACTTAAATCTTCTTTTTTGTAATTCCTTATTGAATGACATTTATTATTTTTACTGATAATTTTTGTTATTAAAAATTAATTATGAAGGTGTTCAATAATTATACGGTTTACGACTAATGTTAAAGTTTAATTTATATTTTTGTAAATAGTACACTAGTCGTAGCTATCGAGTTTTGGCAAATCGTAAGGGGACTTTTGAACTAAATGGAAGGCTTGAACTCTCAAATTCCCTTTAGTTGTGTCAATGACTAACATTATATTGCATGTATATAAATTCATGTATACTTAATGTGTATGAACAGGGCCGTATCAAAAGGAGGGCGAGAGACAAGGCCGTAACTGGGGGGGGGGGGTCCAGGGGTCCAGATTCCCCCCCCACCGAAACCTACGTCACGAGCACAATTCCTGGGAGGACGCAAAAATGAAAAATGTGCATTTTGTGTTAAAAATTACAACGGTAAATGTTGTCTATTTTATTTAAAAAATCTTCAACGTTCTTTATATTAATCGAAGTAACTGTTTCAAATATTATCTAATAATTATATTTTTAAAGTAAAAATATATAATGGCGCATAATGAAATGTCGCCACTGGTGTAATATAGTACTTGGTTGCTACGGTACAGCGTATATTTTAGACTCTAAGAAAAATGGGTTTTGGAGTTATTTTCGCGTTAAATCGAGATCAATATTATCGCATTGCGTACTCGTAGGGATCTCGTACTCCTCAGTGATCACATAAAAATCGTCAGACACACACACACACACACACACACAAATTGAATGTGACTTGACTATTATTTTATGCGTAACACGCATTTTGGCCGTCAGTTGAACCCGAAGGATCACCCTGAAATGTTGACCGGGACGGCGGCGGGAGGTTGGTGGAGAGGAGGCGTTAAGTGCGCGTGAATAACACGCGAACGCATCCGCAGCGGCCACGGTCCAGTTGACCCGTGCAAATCCCTGCAGCGTGTGCGCGCGGTGCGCCCCGAACCGTATCATTGTCGTCCATGTGCTGCAGGCGGCAACAATCGTATTACACAGCCGAAGCGCACCGTGCATGTCTCCCAAGAGGCACCTTTATCATCGCCGGTCGCGCGTTGACTTTTCGAGCGCCGCACGCGTTCGGCATCGCGCACGTGAATAATACGCTGCACGTATTGTTGTTGTTGTCGTTGTCGTTGTTGTTGTTATTATCATCATCACCGCCATAATCCCGTGTACGAACGCCGCCGCGGCCTCAGTGCGTCACACGCGTCCGTCCCCTGTCATCCTATTCTCACGGATGAACTGTTTACAATAATGTAAACGGTGGTGACGACGGCGGCGCAACGGCTTCGACTCGTCGTAGCCATCCTCCCGTGTCCCACAATAGGACCCGCGTAGCGTGTGTCCCTTATCATCGTTACTCGTTCGCATACATATATCCGACGCCGCCGGTCGGTGACTTTAATTGGTTTTGGCCCACGAGGCGAACACTGGTTAACACTGGTTGACGCCTTATGCTCCATCTCGTTCACGATATCTCTCATATACACCGACTGCACGCTCTGCTCTCGCCCGACCACCACCGCCATCGCCACCGCCACCACCACCAGCTCAGTTTTCCGTTCGCACTCATCATCCCGTTAGACCAACTCACCGGCGCTTATACAATGCAAATTACGTGTACACGATTCGTTTGATATTTTGTTTTAATAATGCGTCGTTCAACATACGATTTGATTTTTATTGGACGATTTGTAATCATTGGTCTTACACGATTATCAACTCTTTTCTTACCTACGTTATGAGGTCCAAACAACATTTTTTTTCTTTAAAAACTGATATCATAACAAATAATAAATTGGTTATTATCGAATTTTCATTTTAATGAATTTTCTATAAACCCCTACGCTTAAAATTGTCAGTCCAAAACAGCAAAAATTATTCGAGTACGTCTCTGAATTACAATTATAATCGTTCATAAAATAAACATTGTACGTATTAATACGACTCATTTTAGTGTAACTCGTTATAGCCATACACACGTACACCTTACACCATAAAAATGGAATCATGAAATATTTATAATATCTATATTAAGCCTCTAAGTTTTAAAACATTTATGTAATTTTTATTATTTTATAAGTAGCTTCGTTTTAATTAAATAATTATAATTAATAATTATTACATCGTATTAGAAATATAAAAATGCATTTATACCTAGTTACAACCTCATAAATATATAGTATTTAATTTTATGTAAATATCCTTCTCATAAATAATTAAATATAAAAATAATATTAACTACCAAGGGCGTATCGAACTTAAGTGGCAGGGGGAGAAATTTCCCCTTGACCATAACCAACAAATATATTAATTTTCAACGAAATGTTAAACTGACCCGTATAAGACCTAATATTTAAATTGCTTATAACTTTTCAAATTTTTATTTTTTAAATTAAATTCTAAGTATTTAAATTATAATTTCCGATCTAATGACAGAATTTGACAGAGTTTTTTAATTTTGTTTATTACAATACAATTTTACATGAATATTTTTAAAAATTTTTATAGAGTGAAAAAGCTATACTACATATAAATATAAATAATTTCGTATGTTTAAAGTATGGAAGAAGTAATAAATTAAGTATGAATTATGTAATTATATGAGTCAGGCGCGTATATAAAGCGGGGTTTTAGGAGTTCAAATCCCTTCCAAAATTCAGGAAAATGATATTAAATATGTTTTTATATAGTAAAATTGGTATATAGATTATATTATTATAAAAATGTACAACGTAAAACCCCTCCCAAAACATTTTTTTGTGTACGCGTCTGATATGAGTATACTACATTTATTGTAACATGCCGATGATATATTTATTAGCTGTTATAATATTAATAAGCGTATTATTATATCCATTCTTATAAACTAGAATGATAAACAACTTGTGTATACAAATTTGTACTAAATGTATATTGACATATCGTCATTGTACAGTTTTCAATATTCACAACTATTATTGTTACTAGTTAGTAAATGTTTTACTTATAACTAAGGTACCTATATAAAAATATAATTCTTTAAATGTTTACACACTGAAGCCTACTCCAGGATCACCATTTTATGTAGAAATATAATAATATTGAATTTATATAGAATATACAGTTATTATATGTACATTTCATACTCTTCCTACTCATTTTTGACACATGGTTTATAGATTACCAATAAAATGCATATAAAATAAATATTATTATTACCATATTTGATGAGATGTTATAATTACATTACAATAGTAAACAAAAATTAGGCTACTCATTAAAAATTTCAATAATATTATAATAAGTTTAATAGCGTAGGAATGTTTATACTTCACGGGAAACCTTAAATCCACCAAAAATATTAATATTTCCAATTTATTCGTAATTAATTAAATATGTGTAATCAATAATATCTAAGTCATAATATTATGTTCATTTATTTTAAATATCGATGAACTAAAATTCAATTTTAATTTTTATAAATAATATGATCTTTTATAAATATTGAAATAAATAGTTGATATATAGAATTAAATAAATAAATGCTTAATTAATTATAATTATTAGAATTAACAATTTACTAATTTTTGTTTTGTTTAATTTCTTTAATATGATTGTTTTATTAACAACGATAACATTTGCACAATCAGGATTGAAAATTTAAAAAACTGAAACCCGGTTTTATCATTTATGATGTATACAATTATTTACATTTATTTCACATTAAAAAAATACAATCATGTTATAGCCATATTTATCTTTTTTATAACTAATATATAATAGTACTATAATAATGTGTTATTTATAATATTCAATTTTAATTAATAATGTTTAATTTAATACATGAATTATAATTACTTATTTATGCAACCATATTATTTAATAATTCTTTAATGATTAATTATTTTCACTCACCTAGTCATATATTGTTCTTTATATAGAATGGATGCAGGTAATTCAATACTCTTATAATCTATGCGTAACAGCGACTGATCGTGAACCGTAAAGGATAACAGCTGCCTGAATCGTGGCTTTCGATGGTTACACGGATACGGTAGCGCCAACCCAAACCCCGCCTACCAAAAGAGGGGCACACGAGCAGCCAATCCGTATCTAAACACTTGGCACGCGTCACCTTGACGACGACCGAACAACTGACAACCCTTAACAAAAATTTCCTGGTTCTGGCTTATTACAGTTGCTGTTGTTACTATAGATATTATAAATAGTTTATTATGGATTCGATAAAAATAATTCCTGTACAGAACTAATAGTTATTGCAAAAATTGAATAATACATAGTAATTAAATCCTCTAAAATATTTCTCCTAAATTCGTGACAACTATTTATAAATATACCAGATAGACAATAAAAATGTTATAGTTATTAAGTAATCCAATTACATTTACATGTATCGAATAATGATGATAAATGAAAAATTCAACTATTAATATATAATTATAATTAATATCTTAAATACAATAAAGTTTAAAAATCTGATTGAAAACTTACATTATAAAATTGTACTTTTAAGTAATAAGTAGTACTCAATTTCTATAAGTCATTTGATTAAATTTAATGCATGATAAAAAATAAGATCGATGAGTGTACAATATATGTATAAAAACAAAATAAATTTGTTATATGTTAAAATATAAACACTCAATATTTGATATTATATTAAATATATTTTTGTATCTAATATAATATTATTAGTAAATGATTATCATATAAAAATGTATAATTATTATACATTAAATTATATAAATCACTAGTTTGACACTGATATAATATACGTAGATATACAGGGCCGTCCCGAAGATGAAAATCAAGGGGAGTGAATAATATGAAAAATGCCGACTACAATTTTTTTACTCAATGTATGTAGTATAATTAACTATATGTAGTCGTATTTTTACTTTTTAACGTGTATATATATATATATATATATATATATATATATATATATATGTGTCGTAGGTTCTTAAAATTTACAATTTCATTATATATATAAATACATAGTAATATTTTATATTGTATAAGTAGTTATATAAATTTTATTCTTGTATACACTGTATTACGAAATATGTACTATTTGTATTCCGTAAGTAAAATTAGGTCCTTTTAGGCTATAATGAAAAAAGTCCGACTGCCGACTGGTGTTTTAGTTAGAGGGGGGAGACACCTCCCAAGACCACCTTTTGGGATAGTCCTGTAGGTATAGTGTATATAAAATTTATATACCTATGTTACAACTATATCAAAATAGCATGAATCTATACGTAAAACAATTATTTAAATATGAAATTATAATCAGTATCTGTACACTTTAATATAATACATTATTTCATCAAAAATTTAAATGGATGATTTTTAAACTATTCAGTGTTCACAATAAATTGTTTTTCATACATCGACGAAAAAATTATAATTGATGTTCATAGATATTTCTTATAAATATTTAAATAGCCCGATTTTCTTTTTTTATCGGATCATTTTTAGAACAGAAGAAAATAATCTCTAATGTTCAAATTGTTTTTAATGTTTATAAGATGTATTGAATATCGTAAATTTATAGCTCAATTTCTTGCTAAAAAATTTAACGAGAAAATGAAAATGATCATTTTTTTAAAATTTTTTTTGAAAGAAGTTATGTTGAAAACTGAAAATTGAAAACTGAGATACCTACATTATAATTCCATTTATCCTGAACATCTTATTTATATAGGTAGAATAATATGAGTATATTAGTCTATTATCCATATTACATATTCGCTTAAACCTATTTTTTGATTGATATAGTAAAAATGTAATATTTATGTATATTTATAAATACATATATATATATAACCTAAAGATTCAAAATATGAAATATAAAGATAGTGGATATATACGAAAATAATATATTTTATATCGTTAAAGTATGTTATTTAATCGGCACGAATACATAGGTTGTTTAGGTGTTCAGCCCATATTCAGTTTATCATGGTCGTCTCACTCAGCCCTCACACAAGATAAACATCTGTCACGTATTCTAAATTTTCCCTAGGAATATATAGATAAATATAATTATTACCTTACAATTTTGTTCCTCCTCTCCAAAAACTCAACCGCCATTTTCAGAACTGTTTATTCCCACCTTTTCCGGCAAAATATAACTAATAACATTAAAAACAATGTATACATTTATACACAAGGTCTTTTGAAAAGGATGTCATAGTGATAATTGCCATTTGCCCCTGCACATTATTATTATATTGTTTCACTGTGTGTAATAATAAAAATAAAACGACATCCCCTCATTTTGATGATAGTGACTGACACGCGCTACTTTTTGTGAAGTCCGTGCATACCTACTACACGCGCATGTTATTATTTCAAAAGATCAAACATCAGATAACTACCACATGGTAAATTAAAAAAAAAAAATAACGAATATCTATTTATCTCATATATTTTTCTAGTTACCCATTTTCTATTTCCCAATTTATTATATTTTATTCATACACTGTATATTGAAGTCCGTGAATACAATTCTTTTAAATTCGCTAGTAAAACTACAATCCAATTTACTAACAGAAGAAGCTTAATAATAATATTTTTATACTTTATAAAAAAATAAATACATAGATATTTTGAGATACAAAATCAACATACCTTCGTGTATACAATGAGATTCCTTTGAAAAGTAAAACTAAATAGTTCTTTCCAGTGACATTGGATTGAAGTAGAGTGTGGGGTATTTTTAATTAATTAAAAACTATTAAAATATACATTTTTTTTACAATTTTCAATTCATTTTTGTGCGCATGTGTTATAAACTTGCATTATTTTTAATAGCAACATCTACTGTTAACAACATATTTGGATAGACAAAATTTATTTAATTCAATTTTGTTTTTTTTATCATAGCTCTGAAAACAAATTGATTAAAACTGAAGCCAACAAGTTAAAGTTTCGGCTACATCCGAATTGCAGTCAGAGACGATTTTTGAGATAAGGACATATAAAAATCGCGGTCACGCGAATTGTAGGTAATATCTTAGTTGCGGTCATATACCTATTACTTATCTGTAAAGTTTGTAAATAAAATAAATAAAATTGTGCAGTGGCGTACATATAACTTTTGAATGGGGGGGAGGGGAATCAATTGCAAATAAATTATTATGGAAGAAAAATTCCAAAACCAAAGGACTTGCAAATTCAAAATAATAAATTATAAAATATATATATATATATATATATTGAATGTATCAAAATAATAATTTACAATAAATCCTTGAAATATTTTTAATATTTTTTTGTTTCCTTATAATTTCCTTACATTAAGAATACTATTTTATACAATTTTTAAAAGACCTATGGGGGGAATCTGACCCTCACATCCCCCCGTGTATACGCTCCTGCAATATTAGTATAATCACGAACTAGATGATCACCAATCAATAGTACCTACGACAAAAGGTTAGTTACAGTGTTAAACGTAAAACAGTGGAACAATTGAGCGAGCGTCCCTCTAAAATTTTTTTATTCTGAGATGTCAAGTATAGTACTCAGTGTACTGGGGTCAAAGGGTTATATTGATTAGAAAAAATATACACACTGCAAGAATGAATGTTCACTCGAAATGGCCGCGTGACTTTTCACAATTACATCAGTGATTTCAAACCTACACAATAAAAATAGTGTAGACAGTCCTAAGTCTGTTTATAAAATGGAAAGGAAAATGTTGAAACTTTTTTGTAAATAAAACAGCATGGTATATACCATATATACTTAATATATATTTTGAGTGACCGAAACTAGTATGTAACCTTTTTGTTGGGTGACTGCAACTAATACGTAATTTTTAATTTTGACCGCAACTAGTATACACCGAAAGTTTCCATTAAAATTATTGAATTTTTCAATAATCATCATAAATATTTTTTTGAATTATTATGCAATTTCCCAATTTTTTTTTTTTTTTTTATATTTGTAGGTATTCATGCAAACATAAATAAATGATTTAAACCTAATTTTGAGAGATTAATTAACTTCAATTACGCCTTTGACGTAAATGATAATTAATTTACTAAGAAAAAAATTAAACAAATTAACACAATTTTATAATTTTAATAATTTATATTATTTATTTGGGTAAAATTATTTTCAAAAACTATACAATAAATTGTTCAAAATTTAGCCCATAATTAATTTAGCATTATTGAAATCTATGAATTACTTCTCATTGGGTGGCTGATAATATTTGATCTTTTTGAAGTTCTGCACAAGCATTTCTTATTTTATTTATGAGATCTTCAATATTTAAAGATGGAGTTGAATATACTATATTTTTCAAATATCCCCACTTAGTAAATTCTTTACAATTAAAATATATTTAATCAAGTATATAAAGTAAAGAAATATTTAATAGACAAAGTAAAATTATTTAATAACATAATTTACATTTCGTTCTCATAATGTATTTTGCTAACTTACTGCCATTTAAGAGTATTAATTTTTCAATAGTTTTAAATTAATAATTTTACTTACAATTTACAAATTATGTTATATTAATGATATGGATCGTATTAAATCAAAAATTAAAGCAAGTCTTATTTCAAACAAATATTTATAATAATTATAAATTAATTGCATTAATAGTTATTGAATTAAAATATTTTTTTATGAAATATTTTATATATTTTTGTTCATAATATTCAATGTTATGCAATTATATTACACAGTTATGGGCACAACCATGAACTTAAAATGATTGTATAACATATCTTCATAACTTTAAATATTTAAATTATACATTAATTTAAAGAATATCTGAGACTCAGAATTCTCAATATCGTATACATGCTATAGGTAAAATATAATAAGAATAAGCCATAATAGCATTAAGACTTTAATCTTTTCCTTAATTGTATACTTAAAAGTAAGTATACACAAAAAAAAATACAAAACTAAAAATTTTCAAAATATATTATTTTAATTGAAAACCAAAACATATG